CTGCATTTTGATTGTTTAGTAATGATTGAGTGATTGATAGTATGGTTGATTCATTGATTAATAAGATGGTTGTTTGTTTGTTCGGTTGATTCTTTACTAATTTTTATTTACATTAATTCTCTTTTCAGCTTGAGCAATGTGAAGACAACATCCGTGAAATGAACCTGAAAATACACTCACTTGAAAGCCAACTCGATCAGAAAGATCACGAGGTAAACATCATTCAAACAAACTACAATATATCGCTTTAGTGAGCAAGCATCTAACAAAAACAGAATATTACATGTCCGCATAGAGATAAGGATTTTATCTTCTCGTGTTGAAAATAAGAGATCTCCGTATCTCCGCGCACCCATGTAATATTTCTATTTATCATATGATTATCTATGAAATACCTATATTTTTCCATTTCGTAAAGTTTATATTTTCAACACATTCGAGGTTTCTCTATATAGTGGAAGTAAGAAAAAAAACTATTTTACGATATAATTTGCTAGTTTCATGTTCAATTATTTGATAAACAGAATATTACATTGTTGCTTGGAGATACAAATTTTATCTTCTCGTGTTGAAAATCTCTCACTCGTTCGCGTCTTTCAACACTCGAAGATAAAATCCGTATCTCCTCGAAACCATGTATTATTCTCTATATATCATTCGCTTTGTGTATGCTGAGATTTATTACATTTGAAATTCCAGGCTGATATGAAAGARGATGCCATACAACAGCTAACGACAGAAATGGAGGACCTACAAGAACAACATGGCGACATATTAGATAAGGTATAGAMTAGCTTCACCTTTATTAACCATCGATAAACCACCATGAGATTTATCCCCTAATAAATGCGAGCATTTCTTGTGGTAGTCACTAACTGACTAACCCAATGCGCGAGCGACCGACACGGCTGCAATAGAGGAGTTTACACTAGTCGTTGCATCATGGGTAATGACAACAAGATACCACAATACATGGAACTAAGTTTTGCCCCGCAAATTTACCTCAGAATGGAAATATAGCGAAGTATCAATTTTCCCATCGCCTCGTAGTAATCTTGTCCTAATTACCCATCATTCATCAACTAGTGTAAACTCCTCTTTTCCTGGTGCAACTCTATTGTTATATGCTCTGGAAATGACATCAAGTAATTCTCACTTTTTCGTGAAGACTCTGTGTACTTTTAGGAAATTTTTTTCTTATAAGATCATTTAATAAATATAATGTTTGTCGCATCGTTTTTAGATGAGGAAAAGAGAAGATATGATCGACCGTTTGAAGACTGAAACGTCTTTCTTGAAGGAGCAACAACGTGATAAAGAGAAAGAGGTAGGTTTAGCATATGGGCATTTAATTTTATTAGTATTTYAGTTTTATTTTAACAGATTTATTGGACAAATAGTTAGTTACGAAAAAGAAGATTAAATAATGGGATTCAAATAATAATAAAATGTCCAAAAGGGAATGCGCGAACGGTGGCCCATGTGAGGCGCTTCTCTGAAGTCCATAACTAATTAATTAATAAGATAAAAGAAGTTAAAAGACTATTTTTGTACGTCGCATGTGTTTCCTAAGTGTTCTTTTGCGCGAGAACGTCGCCATTTTGGTCGGTTGTGGAAGCAGTTATTACTGAGAGAGGTTAAGCATTACGGCAAACTGCAAACTGCAGAAAAGATCACGAGACCTGCTTTTTAGGAGTTTACCATTACAATTTCAACGCGAAGATGTTTTTTTTAGTTTGCCATAATCGTGAAAAGTCGCTCTTTCCAATGACTACCTAATGCACAAGGTCAAGCACGAAATTCTTAGGTCCCATTGGTTCAGCTATGCCGTTAGCCGTTTGCCGTAAACGTGATAAAAAATAAATCATGATGCTTAAACTCTCTATTATATAGTATGACCACACATGAGATAAATGTTTATCAAGGCTCACCAGTAACTCACAACACTTTTTCTTATTCTCGCAGATTTCACAACAACTTGAAGTGGTTCACAAACTCGAGCGAGACTTGAATCAGTCGACAAGAAGCTACGAAGACCTCAAACAGCGCTCCGAAGAAGAAGTGAGTCAAAACCCTGATGAGAACGCAAACTTTTCTTAACGTCTTTAACTGAAGCGTAGTTCGTTCCATATATGGTGTATTTATGTTTTTGTAAATAACGCATGCGTACAATTTGTTGAACGTACTTTTCTTAAGTGACTCTTTTTCATTCGAAATATTTATGTAACATTTTATAGACAATTTGTTGTCATGCAACAATGTTTTTATGGAAGTCTTAAACTGCAATACTCAGAGCTAACGATTTCTGTGCTTAGCGTGTGAAAGACGGAGTAGTTTTGGCAGGAAACTTTAAAATGACGTCATCAATTGTTGTYCAATCACAGTCTGAACATTTTCACAAATGTKGGTGTATTGCAGTTTTGGACTATACATCAGTCGATGAYTGACAGTTGCCATAGTTATATATCAYRTGACTCTAGCTYAAGGAAAYCGGCATTCAAGACCATGTTTGGCTCTTTTTTACTTACATTTTGAAGAATTTTATCTTTTCAATCACTACTTTTTTACCATTTTATAACAATTAATTATTTCAGATCGTATTTATATCAATWCAGATGATTTTATAATTTGTAGAGAAATAGAAATGGCAATATTTTAGAATAGAGAAATTAGAATAGAACAAATTTTTATTGAGATTTCACAATTAATATATTGATTCAAATTCATGATGCAATAAATATTTTTTTTGAAATTCGTGTCGTTGTGTTATTCTATGCCATTTATGCCAACATTTTCGACCATATTTGGACTTAAATTTAGTGATTTCGATTTTGATTTTCTGTTCTTCGCTTGCCAAGCATGGTCTTGAATGTTGACATATTTCGGCTCGGTGTGTCCATAGACGTGTGTTGCATGTTGGGATACGATATTGGAGTAATCCGCTGGCTAATGCGTACGCGCGCRCAGCAGCGCTTGTTGAATATTCTTCATGTGCAACCCTGATCAGCAAAATAAAGGGGTAAGCAACCTCTGGGAAATAAAGAACAAAGCTCTCGCCGTCATGTTGGATGAATGAACAAGAGAAACTAATGAGGAATGCTTTGCGTCTTCATCCAACATGACAGTGACKACGTACCTTGCAAACCAAGAATAAYGAACAAATAGAAAGGAAYGAGAACAAAYTASAAGAGAGAAAGAGTGACCAAAAGAAGTCCTTGTTCGCGTGTGCATTGTATGTAGAGTTAAAACCGAAGCTATTCTTATAATCTAAAGTAAGGTGATGCAGAACCAGATATATAGTACAATCATACAAAAAGAATAACATTTGAAGTGAGTGAGAAGAAGGCTTTCGATAAAAGACGAGCGGTGACAATGTTTAGTTTTAGATTTAAGAACTCTTATGAAACCAGAGCGTTTTTAGTTTTTTGTTCAACAAAACGATTTTAACGATCTTCAGTACAGCATAACCCACAATGCATTAGTGCACCGACAGCTGTACGTCGAACGTCGAGCGGTTACCAAACATTGACTGCTAGCGATGCTCGACTTACGTATAAAGCACAAATGAGAGATCAATACGGTTCCGTGCACATTGCAAAACGTGGGCTCCAAATGCTCTCATGCGTACGTAATTTGTACGTACCAATCTCGCGTAAAACGTAACGGAAAGCAATGACCATTGTAAGTCTCGCTAAACCTTGTACTTTCGAGCGTCATAAATCCAAAGGAAACTACGTAATTTTTGCGTACCAATGCCGCGTAAAACGCAACGGAAAGCAGTGTACATTATATAAATGTACCTAGTGTCTTACTATTCCTTGTAACTGCGGGCGTCATAAATCCAAAGGAATCTACGTAATTTTTGCGTACCAATCACGCGTAAAACGTAACGAAAAGGAAGGTACACTGTACAAATGTACCTAGTGTCTTACTAAACCTTTTAGCTGCGCGCGTTACAAATCCAAAGGGAACTACGTAATTTTTTGCGTACCAATCCCGCGTAAAACGTAAAGGAAGGCAATGTATATTGTATTGGAATGTACCTAGTGCCTTACTAAACCTTGAACCTAAGCGCGTCATAAATCCAAAGGGAACTACTGTACAAGGTTTCGTTAAAATCAAATCAACTCCTGAAGCAAGCATATATCAACACCCTGGTCAGCAAGCCGTAAGTGATAACTTTAGACTCATGAACAATTTACCTCGCTGTTTTACAGTTATCAACGAAAGATGATCGTATCAGAAGACTRCAAGAAGAGATGGACGATGTGAAACAGCAGTATTCAGAATGCTACGATGAGGTGAGTCACCTGAAGTRTGATTTTCACTGCGACAATCACAATCACAAACGCTTACGACGAGCGCAAACATAAGCGGAAGATAAAGATCTGTGTTTTTTATTTTATTGTCGCTTTTCATTGAGTTAGCTTGTGATTATTTCGATGTTGGATTTAATTTTCACTTTTATTCTTGTGATTAACGTTTGTGCAATTGTCAAAATCACAAAAATCACTGGAAAAAATCGCGCACTTTAAAAAGTTGTAAATTTGTTGTAAAAATTACAAAAAAAAAAACTTTACAACTTTAGAAAATTCACAGTGCGCGATATTTTCCTGTGAATGTGTATGGTCTGGTTGTTTTCAAAAATCTATCTGTGCGAAAATGCGAATATTTGTCTTTGTTTTAATATAATACACCATCTTCAGTTTATCAGGAGCTGAATGTTTGCGTTTATAAGTTCATGAACAATACTTGTACTCACAACGTCTCGATAATGCTGTTCAACTATAACTTGAGCTCCTGGCAGGCATTTCGTCTTATAATCTGCACAATTAGATATTCTTGATTAAAACAATTATCCACCAGCATTATTAGTGCCCTCTGGACAACAAAACGTGATGAAAAAGTTTGCAGTCGTCACAAAATGTATATGACGTCATGATTATTAATTAGGTGACGTCACAGTGGTAGACTAAGTGCGCGAGCGTGTTGACAACGTTTTCACTTTTCCGCATATTCCTTAGTCGTTTTAAAGTATGATTGTCGGGGAAGTCGTAAAGAAGGACTTGAAGGATTCTAGCGAACTAATAGACAGCCTTCGTAATACTGTAAGTCAATTTTGAATCGCAAATTTTCACGAAGAACGCGTTCTGATTTCTTGATAAGAATCTAGAATTTCGAGCGCGCGCAGAACCATGTAATCAAATTTGACAGCTCGTTTTTGTGGGTGAAAATTTGATTTTGTCTCTCAAAACTAAAACCTCTATCGCCATTTTGTTGAACTTTCAAGCCTTCAGAACAGTGTTAAACTGAGCGCTTTTTAACTTCAAGTCCTTTGACTCTTCTGGACCAAGATAGRTAGATAGGTCGTAGTCTTCAAAATGGCGTCGTGGCAGCAAACCATTTATACTTATTCGGTACGCTGTGTCAATACAAGATACAGTCAATGCTCCTTGTTTGTCTATTAGAGTTATGGTGGAAACTAGCGGTAAACTAGTGTGAGCTGCGTCGGTGTTTCTAAAGAAACAGTTGTGTAAAAAGATAAAATTAACACGGTAAAACAACTTACTGACGTTTCGGACGTTAATCCTTCGTCGGAGTACAGAGTGATAGTGTTATGGCTGATGTAGGCTAATCATGTCACACACCGACTTGCTTGATTAGTGGCCGACTTTGCAAAGCCATGAGACTTTGGATAAACAGCTGAGTGTTGACAGTTTCTTTCATAGTTATTAAGAAATGCAATACATTGAAATATGGATTGTTCAGTGGGAATATATTACAGCGTGCTTACTTTATCACTGATGTCCGTACCGCTTACGTAAAAATCCTCTTACGCTTTTCATTGCTGAAAAGGAGAAGGAGACGTAAAAAATGAAGGATGCATAACGGAACGTTTTCATTTATTATCCTGATTCCTTCATTACGTCTCTCTACGTCTCTCTTACGTTTTTCTATAGCACTTTTTTTTCTTCGCTTACTCCACTGGTTAAAGTRGGCATTAAAGAGTTTCAATTCATTAACTTCTAATCAATCTTTTAGCTTGTTCAGCAAGAAGAGCTCATGGGGAGGTTACGAGAAGAGATCTCAACGCTGCAGATGGAATTTTCCAAATCAAGTGACGAGGTACAGAGAAGTTTACGATTTGATACATTGACTGATTAACCGACTGACTGACTGGTTTGTTTGTTGGTTGGTGACTGACTGACTGACTAACTCGATTGATTGATTGATTTATGCATTGATTGATCGACTGATTGATTGATTGAGGGGCTTACTGATTGACTGACGGTATGATTAAATGATTTTAATTGATCAACTGATTGATTGATCGACTGACTTATTGATTGACGGACTTACTGATTGACTGGCTGACTGATTATTGATTAATTTACTTATTGATTTATTAATCAATTGATTGATGTATTGATCAACTGATGGATTGACTGACTGGCTGATTGATTGATCAACTGATGAAATRATTGATTGATTGATTCACTGGTTAGTTTATTTCCTTATTTRCGATAAYTGTRTGTTTCAGTTGGTCGARTCACATGARACTATTCGTACGCTWGAGATGGAACTGGCAGTGTCAAAAGAGAAACACCGCACGTGCGCAAATGAGGTCAGTATTTGCAAACTATTAGAGTTGTTCAATTTATTGTATTTAAAGGCCTAGTTTGCACCATTATGCTTTGCGCGCCTCTGTTATTGTTATGATTTACACCAAAATACTTCTAGTATCCAAATATCACCATAAAACGAATTTCAGATGAAACTCTTACTTATATTAGCGTTTAAAGTGCTTAGAAAAGTGAGATGGTCAAAGATTCGAAACACACAGTACAATTTATAGACTTTCGGTAGAAACTGAAAATGGCCGCCTCCAGGCCCTCGCGACCCCAAAGCATAATGGTGCACACTGGGCCTTTTAGAGAGCTATCAATAAATTTATGAACCTTGACATGATTTACGACTTATATTGTGAATTTCAAAACATTGATGAAGTAGCAAGAGTATTGGTGTAATCGTTTGTAATCATTCGTTCCCAGGTTTCTAAGCGTGAYGAGACCATTCTGAGCCTGCAGTCTGAACTGGACGCAACCCAACAAGAGTTCGAGAACTGTTCATCGGAACTTGAGCAACGAGAGAAGGATGTAAGCGTGCTAAAGGAAAACCTAGCCAAACTGGATTCAGATCTTCGAGGTGTCAAAGTCGAGGTTGAGCAAGCTAATGAAAAGGCAAGAACTCGATTTTTTAACGTCTTTTAATTGATAAGTGTTAAAATTAATTATTTGATTTAATGATTAGTGATTAGTGTATATTATTGAGTAATTGAATGGTTAATTGTTTGAATGATTATTTAATTGATTGAATGATTGATTGAATGATTGATTGAGTGATTGATTGATTGATTGATGTACTTGTTGATTTTGATTGATTGAGTGATTGATTGCTTGATCGATTGATTTCTTCAGTGGTTAAGTGATTGGTTGGTTGATTGGGTGATTGATTGAGTGATTAGTTGGTTGGTTGATTGATTGACTGATTGCTTTTGCTGATTGATTGGCTGAGTGGGTAATTGATTGATTGATAAATTGATTGATTTGTTTATTTATTTATTTATTTGTAGATGGCATCAGATGAGCGAGAGATAAACCAACTTCAGTCAGACAAGGCACGATGCATGCAAGAGGTATCCTAACAAATAGAGCTCTGCTTCCTCAATAGAATTTCTGTGATTGCCAAAGAGAAACATATCATGTACCATCATAATGATGGAACATTTGATGCAGTCATGTTTAAACAAGAGAGTAGTACATGAATCACATTCTATGAATAAAGAGTCAATATTAAAACGTTATAGTACGTAGGATTCATGTTAGAATACTAAGGTATGCTTCTTCTACGTTGATTTTGTAGTTAGTTTCGGACAACTTGTCCATCATCAGGGCGAAATGAAATTACATTTGTATCCTCGCTCACGCACTGTAATGGTCTCCTTCACGGTTCCCTCCGCCATCTTGAAACCTGTGAATAATTGTCTGTAGGTGTGAAAGAAGGTTTCTATCATTGCACGCTCAATGGTCGTCTCGCTTCGATACAAAGGCACGGCTACCTTTCAAGATGGCGCAGGGAACCGTGAAGAAGACTATTTCATTTTGCCCTGATGATGGACAAGTTTTCCGAAAGTTCTATAACTAATCAATCAACGTAGAAGAAGCATACCTTAGTATTAGGGTCAATAATCCCGCGCGTCGTTAACAGCAGAAACCACAACGTCTATTATAGTTTTGATAAATCCAAATCATATTAATTATCATCACAATCATCGTAACACACTTTTTTGTATTTTTATAGGTTCAGCATTTGATGCATAGCGTAGAGGAACTCGAAGCGCGCTTAGCTGCCGAAGAAGAAGATCGTGCAACCGAGGTAAGGTGTCTCCGTACATTATTACCCAGCAATCACCTTGGCAACACAAAACATGAATCAAAACCCTTAACAAACTTAAACTACAACACTGCGTTGTGCGAAGAGGTGTTTTCAGGGCTTACGTTCATATGGAGATTACGATTAAAAATCGCTAAAGCGGGCGCCAACAGAAAAAGAACATTGCCGTTGCTTTTAGCTTGTTATGTCTGACAAAAAATAGCTACTTTACATCGTTTTAACGGCAGAAATGGATTTTGGGTATTTTAAGGCCGAAATTGTCGTGATGGGAGGGAAGGGCCAATTTCATCCAATGTATGTATGGATCAAGTAGCGTCGACAAGAGTTTGTATATGCACTATTTGTTTAAATTACTTAGAAGTTAAAAGGATAACCCCACACTGTGGCTTAAAAACGATCCTTTATGTTATGCTGGAAATCGGTTCGATGAGATCTTAACTCTTGAGTTCAAATTTGAACCCATTTGAGATCAAAATCATCTCGCAGGCTATTCGCTTGGCGCTTTTGAAGTGGAATTACTGCCTTAGAGAACACTTTGAATAATTTSTTTCGGAAAGATGATGGATTTTAATCCCTGTGATCAAATTGTCGGAAAAAAAGGACTTCTTTAATGAACGCTTATCTCAGGATTTTTGGAAAATTGAAATATTGTGGGATTAATAAATTTAACTAGTCGATTGCTTTCTTGTTTCCACTTAAGTGTGTAATTTGAGATTGTAGACAGCTATTCCTTAAAAACGCACTTCAAAGTTGGCTTCAATGGCTCAACAGGCGTCAGACTTAATATTAAAAAAACAAAGTGTTTTCTCTGCATGTTGAACATATGGCATCGTTTTTTGACTATTCCTAACACCAAGCTCTATAAAACAGGTGACATCTAGTGAATTGATCCAAACACTGTACTAAGTTGGTATATTATGTCTTGTGCAGTGCTTAATAAGAGCTGTTTGGRCGGTCGATTCTCGTATRCATGGTAACTGAACCTGGTAGTTTTTTTAAAAAGATTTTAAAGTAGTAYAAGAGGTTTTACTGTATTTGAAATATATATTGTTATGTTAATGTCTATTGAACCACCAGTTGGAGAGCTTTACATCTACTCAGTATAATATTTGTCTTTGTGACAAAAGTGTCATTTTTCTTCTCATTTGTTATACTCTGATGTTTTTACTTTTGGCTCGAATACTGCTGGATTTTTTTTTCGATTTAAACTTTTTTATAATTACTGCTTGAATTTTATAGTTTTAAGTAAAAGTTGACTTCAAAAACAGGATTACTGTAAGGGCTTTTAAAAAGATTAAAATAAATTTCCAACACGTCTTGGTTATGTACTAGCAAACTATGTATCACTACTACAACTAAACCTTGATAAAACTATCGTCTGTCAATATAAAATTGTATTTATTCTCTKCAAAATACGACACAGCGTATGTTTTCTTAACGTGTTTATGTAAGCATTAAAATCTGAACTGTGAGAAAATTACTATTGCAACTGCTACCACAAAAAATATAATATWATAACATCCTTTAATRTCAGTAGAAAAAAAGKTTTTTTTATACCGCATCCTTTTAAACACGGTATTATTAATTGCTGAAGACTGACTCGGTTTCAAATGATGAATAATACCAAGTGGTTTAATATTTCATTAGATAAAGCGATAACAGAAGCTGTGCTTATTAAGATTACTACATTTATTGCATCGTTTATTTTTTATTATAATGGCCAAAAAATCTACAAATTACACTTAAATATTTCAGATGCTGTCCCAAGCATGTTGTTCGTTGCGTATGGGGATAACGTTATTTTTAAAATTGCAAATACCAAGTTCYTTATTAAATACATGGGTGAACAAACACGTCACGTTTTAACTTGATAAATTCGTGTCTTCTCTTTCTGTTTGCCTTTCAAATTATTTTAACTAAAATATATTAAAGATTTGACTTTAAAAAGAAAACACAAAATSGAAAACTATCAGTTTTCATTTTCCAAAGTTAGTCTTCAATCACTCCCTTTTWTGGGGGTATGTTTATCAAATTAAACATAAGCGAAAATGAGTGAGTTTTAGTCTAATGAACGTTTTTCCCAATTAAAAATACCGTAATGAAAGACCACAAGACACTAATTGATGTTATTCCAAAGATAACAGTTTGAAATGATCTTTTATGAGGTGTAAATGCCTGATTTTCCCASTTATATTTCGTGGTTTAGACAGCGCGAGTACTCTAAACCTCCGCCTCGTGGTTTCTAAATATACCGCACTAGTTCATAAGTGCGTTATCTTGCTGATCTGGTGAAGGCTCAAATTATATTGTGTTCCTTTCGAAAATGAATCTCGTTGAATATGATTGATATCGTCAATTCGAGCTTGACAACAGGTGCCGCTTGATAATGAAATACTCGTCGAGCAAGCCATCTCCCCGTGCCAATCATTGCCTTGTGTTTATGAATGGWGGTCTGCATCGGATGAAAGTCACCCCTGTTTACTCTATTTTCTCAAGAAAACTGCACCTCTAATGGTCAATATCAATTAAGACGTCAAAATGTTTGAGTTAACCCAYGAGTGGCTGCCGTTGACAAAATGCAAATTCTTCGTTGCATAATCATTCGCCAGCAGCGAATCGATGCAAATCATTTTATAAAGTATAGTGAGTGGAAGAGTCTACGTGTTCCGGAAATTGCTGTTAGCGTAAACGGCGATGACGAAAATGAAAGAACTATCTGATCATTGTTTTGCTCTGACAGCAACACTTGGAAGCGGAAAATGTCCTTGTCGGCTTCGTTAGAGAGCTGTTTTACTAATATGGCTGTGCTATGGTTTATGTTGATCTTACAATTCCTGGTCGTTTCTTGCCATCACATTGAAAATCCYWCTCTGGAAGATCGTAAATTTGTCAAACCTGGTAATGTCACCATTTCGGGGATATTTCCGATCCATGTTCGTGGCTGCGGGCAAGAAAAATTTCGCCCACAGTACCTTGCTTTGTCACAGGCCATGGTTTTTGCCATTGGACGCATTAACAACGATGCTAAACTACTGTCAGACCTATCACTGGGCTACGAGATCTATGATTACTGTCTAGATGATAGACGAGCTATGGAAACGGCTTTAGAGATCACTAACAGACAAAAACTAGCTTTATTGTACAGCAAATACTCGAATTCAGAGGTCTGCTTTTCTAAAAATGCTGGCCTTGGACAAGTTCCGGTAATGATTGGTTCCGGGACATCAGGGAATTCGATTCTTGTTGCTAATTTGCTTCAAGTKGAGGAYATACCKTTGATCAGTTACGCAGCGACTAGCGATGAATTAAGCAAGACATCTTATCCCACTTTTCTTCGTACAGTTCCACCCGATCGCTTTCAATCTCAAGCCATGGCTGACATAGCCGAGTACTTCAACTGGACCTACGTCGCTGCCATAGCTGCTAATGATGCATATGGAAGGTCTGGSATCGACTACTTTAAAAAACAAATCAGCAACAAAGGAACCTGCCTTGCTATGGAGCGMTATTTTATAGACGGGACGAAGGAAAGTAAATCTGAAATATCAAGAATTATCAAAGAGCTGAAAGACTTAAGCAACGTTGAAGTTGTTGTTCTTTATTGTACAAAAAAGCAAGCTAGAATACTCCTACAGGAAGCAAGAAATCAGAACCTTCCAAAGAAGACATGGATTGCAAGCGAGGGATGGGGTGAAAGTTCSGAGGTACTGACATCTGAAATAATCCCTGTTATAAAAGGACTTATAGGCGTTGTATACCGTAATGTTGAAGTGRACGATTTTGTGGAATATCTCATGAACTTAACGTCTGCTTATAGRCCTGTCCATTGGTGGGAGAACTTCTGGGAATCGCAGTTTGGTTGTGTTTTTAASTTGAATTYTTCTAAGCCTGATAAACTCTGTAGTGACAACCTACGTATAACCAAGGCGATGTATAGATCGAGCATGCACACTAGTATGTCTGCCTATGTCGTTAATGCGGTATACGCCATTGCGCATGCTCTAGACGCTATGAAAAATTGCAAGGAACCACATGGCTTACTGACTGGCGGTAAATGCCCTAAATTCACCAMCACTGTTAACCCAAAAGACTTGCTAACGTACCTGAAGGCTGTGAACTTCACAAGTCCTGTGTCACGTGTKAACTTTGATGCGAATGGCGATCCCAACGGATCYTACAGYATTGTCAACCTACAGATTCGCAATGGATCTTGGGYGTTTCGTCGCATTGGATCRTGGGARTCATCGGCGTCACCACATCTGAATATAGATGATGATGTCATTATRTGGAATGGTGACACCAAAGGTCGACTACCAAAGTCTGTCTGCCAGGAAATTTGTAGTCCAGGCTACTGGCAAACACCACGCGTTGGCTGYTGCTGGCAGTGTATTGAGTGTCCATTGGACGAGATATCGCTGACGTATGGTGCAAATAACTGCAGCAAATGCCCAMGTGACTTYATCTCAGATGCGAATCATACACRATGCAGGAGGGTCCCTATAGTTCATATTACTTATCATGACTTATTTGGGGTTATATTCATGACAATTAGTAGCCTTGGTTTGATAGGAACCGGCTTCATTACYGCTGTCTTCATTCGTAATAATAACAGTCCGATCGTCAAGGCCTCTAATCGCGAACTATGCTACATGTTATTGTTCTGTATTGCCATGTGTTATCTAGCTCCGTTCATCTACCTCTCCAAACCCTCCCACAATGGTTGCATCTTRGTACAAGTATGGTTTTACGTRTTCTACACTACCTGTATAGCAATCCTAGGCGCAAAGACTAATAAAATTGTACTACTATTTGAGCAAAGRGTGCCAAGATCAAGGTACACCTCGCGATTCTTCATGTACCGACATGTGTTCATTGTAGTGAGTGCCATGTTGTTAGAGCTAGTTGTTATCATCGTCTGGGCGTTTTTGGACCCACCACAGCCTCACATCAACCGAGCGTCCCGTGAAGAATACATCTACACTTGYAAACCGAGCATGCATACAACGGGACGAGTTTGTCAGTACCTTCTTATGTCAATTCTTATAATTGTTTCCGTCATATGTTGTTACTTTGCCTATAAGGCAAGAACGCTGCCTGATAACTTTAACGAAGGAAAATTCATCGCTTTTTCCATGTAYATATTGAGTATTTCGTGGCTGACTTTCTACCCAGTTTTCCTCAATATCCAAGACGTCTATACTGTTGTTGTCCTAAGTGTCACAACTTTTATTTCTGCGTCTGGTCTCTTAGTTTGTATGTTCTGGCCAAAAGTCTACATAATTATCTGGCATCCGCATAAAAATACGAAACATTACATGCAGGAACAAATAAGCCAGCATGCATTTCGACATAATACGATAAAAAACCGCAGTAGGTCAAACAGTCATGTCCTGCCTCATCCGCCGCTGACCATGATCGCCGCCCTGGATAGGCTACGTCTTGTTTTGCCAACTCTACACGGTACAGCGCAGAGCACTGCACAGAATAGCCCCCACAGCACTGCACAGAATAGCCCCCACAGCACTGCACAGAATAGCCCCCACAGCACCGTCCAGAGTAGCCCAAGAGGATCGGTTGATTCTTCAGGTGGAATTAAAAGACTAGATGGTAATATGAAAAGGCAAGAAACCCCTCGTACATCCGTGAACACAAAGCCTCGTACATCCGTGAACACAAAGTTATAGGTCTAATGTGAAAACATTTTATTTGAAATGGAGTGCACAGTAGGTGGTAAAGCCCCACGTGCATCCAAAAAAATGATTATCTATTATTTTGAACTAATCAGAAAGCAGATTTCAACCATTTTTGAGACAAATCTAATGATTGCAAAGCCTCCCGGGTACAAATGAATCTTTGAGGATAAATGTAACTTGATTCTACGAACATCAAAGATGAAATTTGTAATTCAGAGTGGAAGATGAATTAGCAATGAAACGTACTCTTGAATAGTTTGAACATGTTWACAGCAACGCGTTGGCCTATTAGTAGAGTAGAGTGAAGTCATTTTTGTAAAAATGGACAATTTAAATGTAAGAGGCAAATAGACACATAGAAAAGGAAGCAATACAACTAGAAAGGAGCCCATTACTAGGAGTGTCCATGGGGTGTACTGGGTTTGGTAGCAGTCTTGTCTATTTTTAGATCTTTTTTACCAATGAACAGTCACTTCCGGTGTTACGCGCGCGCGTGAAATGCGCGGGAAACCAAAAAAGATAAAATAAACAAACATGGCGGACGATAAATGTGAACTTTCTTCTAGTCTTTCTAAAGTAAGCGATAGCAAAGAGGCTACAACTAAAGAGACTGGAGAAAAATTTAAAAATAAACACGTCTATGAAAACGCCGTGTTAGGATAATGGGCTCCCGAACTAGAGAGTGGGACGATGCATTAGTGTTAAGTTCAGGGGGTTTTTTTACTTCACTTCACAACCTGTCAAATGTGTTTACAAGAAATTGTGAAGACAATTATCATAGAACATCTATTTTTTCTATTTATATAGACTAGGAGTATCTCTTAATTTGACGTTAGATCAAATCCGATTATTTTAAAAGTATTAAAATGAAAGAATAAAAATGAATATGAAAATAGTAGGATTTCTGTTCTTGTCATTCGCTCTTATTTATCTTATGTAATTCTATTGCGGTTAGTAAACTAACCTTTGTAACATTCTTTTTGTGTATTGCGAATGTTCACACGTATCTGGATTTAACTAAATATTTCCCAATTTTTATCGAATAATAGTTTTCTGAAGGGGATGGTAAATTGTTGAAAGGAAATTGCATATGACTTAAAGGAGAAATGGGAATTGAAATTAAATGGAAGCTGTTCAGATTAAAACAGTAGTTAGAGTAAATCGCTTTGACACTCTGTTATTGACCAGTATTACAAGAATCAAGCTACGTCCTCTAAAAAAGTTACATACTGCTTCGCCATTCCTTTGAAAATCTTTTGATTAAATAGGTTTTTATGCTTTATTTTCATTGATTTTTAGGCAAAACGCCTCAACACTGAAATCGAGACACTGGGCCACAACTTGACTGACGCWCTCCAGAAAGAAAACGACACTGCCACATCTGTAAGTAGACCCTCTGTTCTATTTGTGAACATACATCAACTGTCATGTCAAAAACACCATCATTTTAAGAAAACACTTCATTGTATCAACTGAAACTGAAWAGTTCAATGTGTTTGCAWTTTGAAAGTCTAATATAATACGACCTAAATCTTTTAGTCGATAGTTCATAAAAATTTAGTTGCAAAATATAATWACTCGKTTGCCAGAGTTTACAAGTTRCCAAGCTAAAATAAAATTGCCTTTTTATAGCTAAAAACGAAACGTTTGAGAGCTGAAGTGCTGAACTTCAAATATACTTCAGGCTTTACTAGGACAATTTAAGCCGAACAATTCATTATTTTCACACGAATCTATTCTTKTGATAATCGCATGCATTTTATTTGTTGAATGGTTTCATRTCCGAGAMTGAAAAGCCTGATTGTCCTGGACAATTACAGAGCTGAAAAACGAATTCGAGAGAAAATTGTCATTTTTAATTAACATCGGTTCAGTTTAATTTCACGCGTTGACTATGAATACGCAAAAACATAGTTTGTACATACTATATAAACAAAGAATGTAAAGCTGTACATATATTGTCTTACATTYGGTAAATATATTGGTACTAGACCTATTGGATATAGTATATAGTACATTGGTAAAGTCATTGTCAGTCAAATGGTTTCTCGGCTCTTATTCTGAAAATGCTATTAAAATTGCAATGTCTTTTACGTAAAATTGTTATGTTTTATCATTTTGGAGCTGGTTGTACGCAAAATAGATCAGTTTCCATTGGTTAAAATTATCTATTCATTGTTTTAATCGTATGAAATAAATAAATATATAAAATATAAAATATATAAATGGTTTTCTGTTTATCATAGCCTTAGTCTCTGAAACGCTCACTCGTGCTCTCGGCTTATAATCGGCTTATATTTCTTATTTGTTGCAGTGTCAATTGATAATCTTTTGAGGGAAAACAAATATATATTTTTATTTGATATTGAACTGTGAAAAACAGTAAATTTCTAAGGTGTTTGTAATTTTGTTTTTAGTTGAGAGAAGAACGTGAAAGAGGTGACAAACTTGAGAGAGAACTGGACATGACTCAAAAAGCTAAAGCAGAATACGCCAACGAGGTAATAAATATGATGATCATGATGCTGATGATGACGATGATGATGATGATGATGATAGTAGTAGTAAAGACGATGTGTTCAATATAAACACAATTGAGAACTGTGTTGTAGGATCTGTAAGGTGTACATGATCAAGGATGTATCAAAACNAAAGACCGAGGCCAGTTTTTTTCCTATACGGACCGACCTATAGCCGTTAAATAACATATATGTACTAACATTATTATTTTTTATTTGTATTTTATTCAACTTTGCTCACAGCCTAGCTGCAGGATACCGTGGACCAGGCAGATCGTGAAAAACCGGACCGCGCGCTAGCCAATCACAGCACGTGAATGACTAGGATACCGGACCGAAAAAAATAAATATAGCTATTCAACAAGTTTGTTCGGCCGGAACCGCGATTGTACGAACAAAAAGTGATTATTCAATGTTTATTCACTCTTCTACGAAAACTAGCATACCTCGAAGGCGTCTCTTCCAAATTCCTGTGTTAAATAAGTAAGAGAGCGGGACTAGTAAAAACAAGGATTTTTCTTTCCCCTCTCCCAGTCCCCTCTCTTCCCTATTTTTTCTATAGGGAGCAAGAAATATAGAGGGATGCCTGGGGGAGGCTACGGAAGGACCAGGACAAACCAAAGAAATTTTCACCGAAGATTTTTATTTGATGAAAACAACAGTATTGCCTGCCTTTATGAAAAAACTTGACTACTTTTGTAGTCCAAAACTGGCACCTCTTTTCTCAATAACTATGTTATTTATTATGTACAAGTGTAAAATGTAAAGCGCGCACTCAAGACAATTGAGAAAAGTGGTCTCTTTTGTGCTGACGGTTGATCAGTACGTCGATTCAAATACAGTTTTCAATTCCGCGCTCGTAAATGATAAAAGAGGATCCAGTTCTAGACTACTACTTTACTAGCGTATTTTTCGCTACTAGTGTGGTAGCCAATCAAACCGTTTTCTGACCATGGGTTATTCTTCTACAGGTTAACCGATGTGAAAATTCTATCATCACCCTGGAGTTTAACGTCAAAGAACTTAGACAACAGGTTTGATAGCAATGAAATACACGCTTACTGCATAAACCTGAAGTAGCTTAGGAATTCAAAAAAAAAATTATTATTGATTGTAACAAGAAAATGTCCATTTTCAGCAGATAAGCATTTTTTCTTGAATTCCATGATGGATGGAATACCTATGTATTTGCCACCATAACTCCTTCTAAAGACATTAGGCGTCGTTTCTATTCCTTTGCTTCTATTCACTGTTATTTTCAAGGAGTTGATATAACTCTATCAAGAGAGTTAAATTTACTCCACCCAATGGAGTAACTTTAAAGGGACATGGTCCACTAGCATGCAATGCGGTCGTGTTTTAGATTTTTCATATATGGAAAATGAGGTGACTTCGAGGATGTTTACCATTTACACAAAATTTCCGGAAATTTTCGGATCAGTGATCAAAAGTTTCGGGTCAGTAAACATGACTTTCCAAATATGCAATCGGATTAGAGTGTGTTTTGTAATAATTGGCGCATTTTCATGCAGCTCAAAAGACGTGAATAAAACGAAATGGAGGTTAACTTGCTTTAAGCACTTGGTTGAATGTTGGTTGAATCTGCTGCCTGATGAAATTGAAAATTCATTTTTGACAACAACGAAACAAGAATAAACCCTTATGGAATTAACCCTTATGCGACGTGCATTGCCAAGAAATGAAATTTTTTTTTGAAGTTGTCATCCAAAATATTGCATCATCTTCGAAAGCCACTTTAGGATGACAAGAAGAACTTTCGAGTTGCTAGCACAAAACATCGCCCAAACAGGCAAAATGCCCACAGCTAATAGGTTTGAAAAAGCACCAATACCTTTGGAAAACAAGTCCTAATTTTTCTCTGATTTCTGACCAACAACGAGGTTATAAGATCGGTATCGGACCGTTTTACTTTTTAAAACTCGAAATATCTTCACTTTCTTTTTTCCAATATTTTCCCCTACTTCAGTAAAAGCAATTTCAAACTTTGATTAATCCTCGAAGAATGCGTGCGCGCTGACGTGCTGTAGCTCACAGTACTGTTATTACTAGTTATTTGGCGATTTAAAAAATATTTTCATACATTTTCAGGAATTCTTTTTGAAGTTTTTGCACATAGATTGAATCTATTAATTGAGCTGGAAGAATCTCTCTTTATTGTAATTCTCTTAGGATTGCTCTTGATATTTTTGACTTAACTGTCGTGCCTTTACAGCTGCTCTCTCGACCAACTTTCTTATCATGAACGGGAGGAAAGGGAGTACTCTTTGACCAGCACCAAAGTTTATCGGAAATTCTCGTTGAAAATTTGGAATGGGATGCGTTCCAATAAGCTTCAAAACGGAATTCCCGATAATTTGTTATGCAAATAAATCGGGAAAAGTTGTTCCATTTACAATTGTGGTCATTGAACTGAAAATTTCCGGAAATTTTGTGTAAATGGTAAACACCCCGAATATCCATTTGCAATCCGTTTGCATCCATCGGTTTAACGGTCGAATCTTAAAGTATCTCCATTCATATAGGATAAAGGAATAATAAAGAGTAAGTTTTTGCTTATATTACGATGTATTTCCATTTTCAAACATAAACAAAAGCTCGAAAGGGATGCTGGTGGATCATGTCCCTTTAAAGGGAGTTGAATCTACTCAGTCCGTAATGAGAGGAAAGTCAACTCCACCAGGGGTAATTTTAACTCCACTATGTATATTTTTAACTAATATGTGGAGTTATATTTACTCCTAAAAAGGAGTCATCCTGTACCTTTTTCTTATGTCCACTTTTGGAGTTAAATCAACTCTCAAAAGCTATCAGTGTTGTTTTGAATTTACTACCGATCTACGTCGTAAGCGTCTTTAATTCCACCCATCCATTCGTTTTTCATTTTTCATTATTCATTTCATTTCCCTCCATTTTTACTATAGGTTGCTGACAAGGATGAAGAGATTAGTCAACAACAAGACGAGCTGGCACAAGTGAAACAGAACTTCGCAGATGAAAACACTAAAGTTAGTATATTGTCCACTGAGAAAAAATATATAGAGTTTCACTGGAAAAAAATCGCGCGCTTTAAAAGTTGCAAATTTGATGTAAATACGTTATACGTTTTGTAGATTAAATGGAAATCATTTACATCAACTTTTCAGAATTTTGGACACTTACATCATATTTACATCAAATTTACAATCTTTAGAGCTCGCGATTTTTTCCAGTGTTTAAGGAACGTGCTCTTCTTAGTATTGCTTATCTATGAGCGATTTTTTCCAGTGTTTAAGGAACGTGCTCTTCTTTGAGTATTGCTTATCTATGAATTTTAGTAACATTTTGTCATTAATACAAATGTCAATCTTGTAAGCTTGTCCGACAAACCGAAAGTCTGAGGAGCGAAAACTACGACTTCAGTCTAACTTTCAGTTGATCGAGGCTCGAAAAATCAGACATCAATTAGGTANCGTTCTCCATCGCATGTCTTGAGATCCTGGGCGAAAACATTCACTCCGCTTGAGAATTCAGTCGGGTATGGCGTGAAATGACGCAGATGAACTCCGTTACGGTCTCTCTGAACATTCGAATCTAGGGACATTAAATCTAGATTGTGTCCCTCTGGTCCTCCAAAAGCATCTTGCACAATTTTCCAGCACCTTGGTGAAAGCATTGCGTCTAATTTAGAGGGGCGACGACTATAAGACGGAGTATGATTTATTTCGAGGTTCAGGTTTCTTTTTGTGACCTCGTGAATAAGTTGACTAGTCAACTCGATTACTTTAAGTGACTTGGTGCTGCAGTTTCGCCAGGTTTTCAATGTTTCTTCATTTTCTACATTTACTTCTACCGTGAAATCATTGACCGAGTGGGAAAGTGACTTGATTGCTTCTAATACAACGTAAAGTTCCTTTACGTCAATGTCCTCTTTACACAAATCTTCCGTCAGTTTAACGTAAATCTCTTTTTCTTCATCAAGGGCGTGGTGAATTTTTGCGGTCCACTGGAGGAAAGAAGCACTAGTTGATATGCTTAATTGAACACTTTGTTCTTTCCTCCAAGGAATTGGGCTGTCCCACGAATCTAGAAATCTCCAGAACTCTATTTCCTGCCTTAAATCTTTCGATAGAATTACATTTGAACCGGTTCTATCTGCATTTTCTACAGAGGCTGTCATTTGCCTTGTGTGGTATTTTGCTCCTGGAAATGCAAGCGAAAAATATATGCATTTCCCCTTAAATTTCTTTAAAGATTGTAAAGAGGTAGAATTCTCATGCTGGAGGATTTCCTCCCGTAGGTTTTTGAATTTTTGCCGCTTGTCCTCCGGGATTAAGAATGCTTGTGACTGCGTGTCGATGTTCATSCCCAGGAACKTGATCTYTTTTGTTGGCTCAAGTTTGCATTTCTTAAGACCGAGGAAATAGCCTAGACTAACTACTACTTTGCAGGTTACATACAGAGCTGCTACCGCTGACTCTTGACTTAATTTACATTCTCTTTGCTCTATACTTCCAGACCAATGGCCTTTCTCACTAAACATTTCTCCTATGAGACGGTCRTCGATATATAGRCTRCATGCGATGCCCCTTTCTCGGAGAAATGTGCTGACGCTTCCCCCAATAGACTGGTAAACAAATTGAGCGTTTTTCCAGCCCGCTGGGAGGGTGGTAGMTACAAGCCACCACCCCTTCCATTCGATCCCAAAGTATTTTTGTGAAGCTTCTGTAAGGAAGACATGATCATATGCAGATTTGTCGTCTATTTTGGAGACGTATGAGCCGCGGTATACGAATTGAGGCACTGTTGCAAGGYTGTCTAGTCTACAGGGCGTGTCYCTCATCCATAAATTCAGAAACCTCGCATCGATGCATAGGCGAGGTTTGGTGGGCTCGACCGTTAGCGGCAGGACTACCTTAGGGGGACGACATTTTCCAACTTTACCCCAAA